AGCAGCTTCCTGGAAATGGAGTGGAGTGAAAGTTATAAATACCCCCAGAAATGGACTTGAGTTAAGTAAAGATACTCAAAGTTCTAAAGTACAGTAATCAAGTAAATGTACTTTGTTACTTTCCACCACTGGTTACAGACAAATGTGCACAAAAACCCAGATCCTGCAAAGACAGAATAAGTGTTACTGATTGGCTCTGGGCTCTAAACATGGGGCTAAATGGAGCTAGATGTTCTTGTTTTGCAGTGGATATAAACTTCCAATAATAAAGAGAAAACAATAATTCCTTTGATTTTGATATTGGTAGCAGTTTATGTGAGTTTATTAAGATAATCTTAAATCATCGCAACAGATTCCATATAGTTTTCACATTTTAGCGCCCCATTTAACATCTACTGTTGATCAGCTTCTAGTGGGAAATATTAGGTGGTCAAGATTAGGATCTTCTGTGGGAGACTTAAAAGAAAACTGGGAAACTTTAGTTGGTAAAAGTCAGTTTTGGTTGACCTTTGGTTCTCCTCTAAGTGAACCTAAACCTCTCGGTTTCTCATCTGTGACAAACTTCTCTCACTAATTTTTATTCTCCAGGTCACGGTAATGCACTCCATGCAGGCGGGCTACCTGGAGAAAGCCCAGAAGTACACTGACAAGGCTCTGATGCAACTGGAGAAACTCAAAAGTGGGTTTAACGATAGACCATGGCTAGCTTTTAGCATATTGCTCTTTAAAGTGTTTAAAATGTGCTAAATAATGCTAATTCCATCCCTAATCTCCTTTGTCAGTGTTGGACTGCAGTGCCATCCTTTCTACCTTCCAAGTTATTCTGCTGGAGCACATCATCATGTGTCGACTGGTCACAGGCCACAAGGCCACGGCTTTACAGGAGGTACCTTGGTTTATCCTGTGCTCATCACTTTTTAGTTTGCATTTACATTTTTGCCATCATGAAAAGGTCATGTTGAACAATGAACTTGGAGTTAAATTAAAATGTCTACATAAGGAGCCAGACTTCTTGATGTAAAGAAATTTAAACTTTGACTTACTACCCGTCAAACTCGCTCACAGCATGCCCTGCTGTCACCCAAAGGGCCTCAAACTTCATCTCTTGTTTTAGCCCGATTTACACTGCGTCTGGTTCTCCTCAGCTGCTACTTTTGCACCAAGTAGCAGAGGTGGGAGATGTGGAGCCATCAAGGCTGAATCCAAAACCACTCCTCAACCACTAACCTTTAACCTTTACGCTGAAAAAAGCCTGCACTGATGCAGACTTTCTATTTAAGGTCTGAAAGGTTAATTCTACCCTATCCACTATGAGCTTTGGGACGGTCCTTAACATGGCGGACCCTCATCAGGAGCGTGCAAATGTACGGTTAGTGCTTAGGGGCTGTTTAGGATTCAGCCCTAGTCATCTCCATGTCATGTGTTTGTTCTGCCAGCCACTGAAGAGGGTGAGTCCAATCTGCAGAGTGAAATTATTGTGCTGGTTGGATTCACCCGGTTCAGTGGTTGGCAGAGCAAATACATGACATGGAGATGACTCGGGGACTCTACATCCCCCACCTCTGCTAAATACCAAGCAGTCAATGAGAACAAACAGCCTCTGCATGTGGAGCCATGTGGATGGACCCAGCAGTAAATATACAGATGTCACAATTCTTTAAAACTGCTAATTTTCCACTGCATCTGGGGTTTCGTAATATTTCATTATAGACTGCCAGATCATTTACTAAAAACTTAACTAGACTGTGTCTAGCAAAGTCTTTTTTTTTTTTTTCTAAAAAAGACATGTTTTGCATGTTGACCAAGGAAGTCCAAGCCTGCAGCAAAGCATGGCGGTGGCTCCATTATACTTTGGGGCTGTTATTCTGCAGCTGACCTGGAGCCTCGGTCAGAGCGGAGGCAGCTGTAAACGGTTTCAAGCGGGTCTTTTCCTCCAGGCCTGAGTCTGATCAGAACGCCGTGATCTGCTCTGCACAGGAAATGCTGTCATTTACCGACGGGTTTGGAGCTTTGATTAAAAGGAGAGAACAAGTATTGACCAGTGAAGATGTGGCACATTCTGTTCTAGTAAAAAAATTAAATCCAGCCATGTTTAGTCTTTTAAGAGATTTCACTTTATTTTGCAAACAGGTAAAGCTCACCTTATAGCAAATATGTTGTTAAATGTATATCTTGACCTTTTTTTTTTTTTTGCACATCTTCCTCTTTAGATTTCACAGGTGTGCCAGCTGTGCCAACAGTCCCCCAGATTATTCAACAACCACGCTGCTCAGCTACACACACTATTAGTGAGTATATTAAATCAAACCTTTCTTTACTTGTGCTTTTGTTACAGCTGCTAAACTTTAAAAGAAACTGGGAGGTCTCCTTGTGATACGGCAGTGGTACCAGCTTTCAAGCTGAGGGAAAACACGTTGACATTATTTAAAAATGAACAAGGTTTCAATGTTAAATTCAGAATGAAAGAGCAATTAGCAAAATCCCACAGAGTTGGATTACTCGGCCCCATTGGGCTGATTGGCACAAAGCTCTGTTTTACAGGTGTGTTACTCAATGCTGCTCTATAAAGTTCTACTTTCTGGGAAAAAGTGTTTTCTCCCAACTCCCACTCACCCTCAACAGGATTCTGGAGGGTGAATTGGAGTTTGCCAAACCAGTCTACATGTGTTTTGTGGATCTGGAGAAGGCATTGGACCGTGTCCCTCGCCGGGGGGGAGGGTTGTCCTGTGGGGGGTACTCCAGGAGTATGGAGTACCGGGCCCTTTAATAGGGATTCTTAGGTCTCTGTATAACCTGTGTCAGAGCCTGGTCCGCATTGCCCGCAGTAAGTCCTACTCGTTTCTGGTGAGGGTTGGACTCTGCCAAGGTTGCCCTTTGTCACCGATTCTGTTCATAACTTTAATGGAAAGAATTTCTAGACGCAGCCAAGGTGTTTAGGGGATCTGTCTTGGTGGCCTTCGGATTGCATCTCTGTTATTCGCAGATGATGTGGTTCTGTTGGCTTCATCAGGGCGGGATCTACAGCTCTTACTGGAGCGGTTCGCAGCCAAGTGTGAAGCAGCCGGGATGAGGATCAGTGCCTCCAAATCCGAGACCATGGTCTTGAGCCGGAAAAGGGTAGAGTGTCTTCTCCAGGTTGGGGAGGATGTACTGCATCTTGGGCTCTTGTGCACGAATGAGGGGAAGATGGAGCGTGAGATCAATAGGCGGATTGGTGCGGGTTCTGCTGTGAAGCGGGCCATGTACCGGTCTGTTGTGGTGAAGAGAGAGCTGAGCCAAAAACCAAAGCTCTCAATTTACCAGTTGATCTACGTTCCTACCCTCATCTATGGTCATGAGCTTTGGGTCATGACTGAAAGAAAGAGATCCCGAATACAAGCGGCTGAAAGGAGTTTTCCCCATAGTGTGTCTTGGCTCTCCCTAAAAGATAGGGTGAGGAGATCAGTCATCCGGGGAGGGCTCAGAGTAGAGCTGCTGCTCCTCCACATCGAGAGGAGCCAGTTGACTCGGGCATCTGATTAGGACGCCTCCTGGACGTCTCCCTGGTGAGGTGTTCCAGGCACGTCCCACCGGAAGGAGGCCCAGGGGGGAGACCCAGGACACGCTGGAGGGACTATGTTTCTCGGCTGGCCTTGGGATTCCCCCGAAGAAGCTGGCCCAAATGGCTGGGGAGAGGGACGTCTCGGCCTCCCTTCTGAAGCTGCTACCCCCGCGACCCGATCCTGGATAAGTGGAAGAAGATGGATGGATGGTTGTTTTGTTATGAGGAGCTGTAGGAATGTAGGACATCATCATGCCCAACTATGAAATCTAAAACGTTAGCAGAAATGAGGCACTCACAGTAACACCCACGGTCTGCCCTACTCCATTAGCCTCTAGTCACCAACTGACTTCTCTGTAAAATTTACAACAACCTGACAGATGATGAAGACTTGTTTTCATACAGTTGTTGTGCTTTTCATATTTTTGATTACTTTTTAAAACTGATAAAACCATCATTTGTGTTATCAAAGAGAGCATTTTGGAAGGAAAACCTGTTTTCAACCCCTAAACTAACTGACCTCTAATCTCATCACAGGGTTTGTACTGCATCTCTGTGAACTGTATGGACAACGCAGAAGCACAGTTTACCACGGCGTTGCGGGTCAGTGCAAAAGGATTTCCCATAACAGTGGAACTGACTTCATCGCATCCTTTTTATTGAGCTCTGTTTGTTCTGTATTCTTGTCGGTAAGTTGGTGTCTCCCTTGCAGCTCACCACGCACCAGGAGCTTTGGACTTACATTGTAACCAACCTGGCCAGCGTTTACATCAGGGAAGGAAATCGACACCAGGAGGTAAGAAAGGAATCGTTTTATGCTTATAGATTAGATCATCTAAATGGGACATTTTTCTTTAAACAATGTTTTATGTGAATATTTTAAATCTGGTTTCTATATCAGTTGAAGGAAACCTTGAATGTGAGAAGTTTAGCTTTGTGAAATGGTTGCCTTTACACTTTTCTGCCACCAGATGGCACTGATGAACGTTTTTTCTTCTTCTGTTTTACTTTGGTAAAATCTATCCAAACTAACAATTTTTGTGTTTCTAAAAACATATTATAAAATGGATAAAGCTGATCATTTTTTCATAATGAAAAAAAAAAAATTTAAACCCTATTAATATGCTTGTGTTTTGTTTTTCTTCTCCAGCTATACGGCTTATTGGAAAGAATAAACCCTGATCATAACTTTCCAGTCAGGTGAAAATTGTTTAATGTAGTTTTTTCCCATTAAGATACTGTTCTTATAATAGTTCTATTCTCTATGCTTTTATAAACTGTAAACTTGTGTTTTTATTCAGCTCTCACTGCCTCCGTGCTGCAGCTTTTTACATAAGGGGACTCCTGTCCTTTTTTCAGGGACGCTACAATGAGGCAAAGTATGGGGACCGCAAAGTTTTACGCTCTTAAATAATAACCCGTCCTCAGATCCACCTCGCTCTGACACTGTGTTTTGTCTTGCAGACGTTTCCTTAGAGAAACCCTGAAAATGTCGAACGCTGAGGATCTGAACAGACTCACAGCCTGCTCTCTGGTTCTGCTGGGCCACATTTTCTACGTACTGGGCAACCACAGAGTAAGAGTAACCCCTTATCAAGCATTTCTTATACTCTAAAACCACTTGTTTTTTATTTATTTATTAACCACTTATTTTTTTATATGAAAGGATTAGAATGGGGAAAAATGTCGCGGTACAATGTCATCACGGCAGAATGTTTAGGTTTCATCTAAAGTCAGACGTCGTTTTTATATAATTACCGTATTTTCCAGACTATAGAGCTCACCTCACTATAAGCTATAAACATAGGGGGTGTGTTGGCCTAGTGCTTATAGCAGTGCACATGTGCTCTGAGAAGGTTGCAAGGACCCGGTTTGATCCCCACAGCCTGCACCCTGGGTCCCTGAGCAAGACCCTTAACCCCCACACTGCTCCCTGGGCACCACACAATGTCAGCCCGCTGCTCCCCACGGGGGTGGGTTAAATGCAGAGATAAATTTCTCCAGGGTGAGATCAATAAAGTTCAATTATTATTATTATTAAGAAAACGAATATTAAAAACTGGAAACTTGTATATATAAGCCGCTGATATCTACTGAACTGTCTCCCACCAATCCTGTAGGGGGAGCTCTACATATAGCCCCTGGAGTACTAAGAAGAATGCTAGCTCCCTTTAGCTTGTTGGCTCCCAGCAGTAAGAGCTCGTACTGAAAGATGGGGCTTCATCAGCTCTTTATTTCTGCTCTGCAGGAGTTGAGCTCAGTCTCTTCATTGGTTTGGCAGCTTTTTTTATTTTTTATTTATTTAGAAAGACAGATTTCCATCACATCAGTAATCATAGCTTCATCGGTTTAAGATTATAACTGAGGATATAAGCAGAAAGTCTAAGTGATTTTGTCCATGTTGCCTTTCTGGTATTTTTTACAGAATATCACTAACTTAATTGTAAAGATAACAAAAATGAACAGAATTAAACAGTAATGGGGATTGCAACACCTCGAGTAATAAAAAAACACAAAGACATAAGAGGGCAAGACATATTTCAGAAGAACAATCAAATGAAGTCGTATCTAATTGGTTTCACATACTGAGTCCATTTTAACCAAATCTTATACATTTTTTCATTTTCTAATTGGAGGGAAAAACGGATCCTTTCCATCACATAAATCTGGAAAACAATTTCAATCCATTCATCAATAGTGGGTGGGTCTGGTTTCATCCATTTCCTTGTGATGGCCTTCTTACTGGCAGCCAGTAGTGTAGCCAGCAGTTTTTTGTCTTTGTTAGTCCATGTGTCCAATTGTAGATTGCCCAGATACAGTGTTTCACATTTTAATGGAATACTTACATTGAATATATTTTCAATATGTTTGTGGAACTCTTCCCAATATGGTTTTATTACCTGACAGTCCCAAAAAATGTGAAAGTGGTTAGCTCCTTCAGACCCACAGAGTCTCCAGCAGGTTGTTTTGATATCGTCTCTGAATGGGGGTTCAGCAGCTTTAATGCGGCAAATAAATGTCAAAATGTGTGAATTCGGGACATTTGTCCTCTGTCGTGTCTGCTCCTAGCGATAAAATTAGCCCCATATTCTCTCATTTCCAACTTTGATTTCACCATCTAAGGGTTAGGAAAAATCCAGAAAAGCTGCACCTTCTTATAAACCACATGTTTCAAAGTGTGGAAAAAAAACTATCTGTTTATAGACCAGATGATATGGTATATTCAGCCTCTGGAATTAAAAACTGAGAGTTTATTCTGTCATGTCTCTAAGCCGAGGGAGAATAGAAGCGCCAATCAGATGTCTTTACATTTTTGGACTTGCTCATACAAAGTTCAGCTGATTCTGATTTTTTCCCTTAAACTTTGATAGAAATGAATCTCAGAACGAGCAAACAAATTTACCAGCTTTCCTTTCATGAGCAGAAACATTGATTTATATTAGGAAAAGAGATTTTGTCCCGTAATGTGTGAGACTAGAGTTTACTGTTATGAACAAAGAGGTGACAGTAAATAAAAAAAAATCTCTAACATCTTATATCAGCAGGTATTTTTGTTATCAGTAAATTATGTATTTTATTGCATAATCTCACTGATAATAAAAATGGAGGCTTAATCACTCCATAAGGTTGTCCACACAGAAAGGACTGCTTTTATATATGATGCATTCACTGTTTGGAAAAGGATCGGATTTTTGTATTTCCCAATTTCAGCTGGAGTCTTTATACTCCAGTTAATGATTAATCAATTACTGAATTAGTTAATTATTATTTAAATAATCGACTAACCCGATTTATTGTTTTGTAGTTGTGATTAAAACTTGTATGCCTGATTTAAAAATAGAATTTTTCTAAATGCAATTAATTGCCCAGCCATAGATGAGCTTCATGAATCCTGTTAATGTTTGCATTGCTCTTAATTAAATTTGAGACTAAAAATAATCAGTTATTTTTTTTTAAGTATAAACTGTTGAACAACGGACAGAAAAAGAAATATCAAGACGACAGGAATTAAGTATTTTGCCAAGGATTTTTGTATGGGTAATGCTTACATTATTTCCACTAGGATTTGTACTTCAGTTTGAATCAATGGTGTCAGATCTTTTAGATAACCTCAAATAAAAGAAAAAGTAAAATACCCCAAAATGCTTGTAAAACGGCTGTTTACTGTCGTGTTGAAATGGATCAGGATTATGTTCCAGTTGACCCACATTAGTAAAGAAATGTTGATTATAAAAACCTCTGGTGGGAGTTAGTGGTCAGTTATCTAACGATCATAGAGGATGACCCCTCCCCCTAAAACATCCTGTCTTCCAGGCAATGAAATTTTAATTGCTTGAAGCCTTGGACTCAAGATGAATATATTAATATATCTAATAAATCATTCAGTATTTGCAGGCATCTTCTTGCTAAACATGATTACAGGCTCTTTCCCCCGTTTGTGATGGTTACTAAATTTGATCGTCATAGTTCTTTGCTTTTGTTTAAGATGCACTTTAATCAGGACACTTAACTCTGATTTTAAAGGATGTTTTTATATCCCCTTTTAGGAAAGTAACAACATGGTTGTACCTGCCATGCAGCTGGCCAGCAAAATCCCTGACATGTCTGTGCAGCTCTGGTCTTCAGCGCTGTTGAAAGGTATGCTCTTTATTTTTCAGAGCGTTACACCATCACCACCAGGTTGTGCATCTTGCATTTGTGCTAAAAATCCACTCTGCTGTGCTTGCAGACTTGAACAAGGCCCTTGGAAACAACATTGAAGCCCATGAGGCTGCACAGATGCACCAGAATTTCTCCCAGCAGCTGCTGCAGGACCACATCGCCGCCTGCAGCCTCCCTGAACATAACCTCATCAGTGTACGTGAAGCTTCAATTGTCGCCTTTCAACTTTGCTTCTTTTTAAAAATCTGCTAATTTGCTTCATAAATCAATGCTGTTTGGGTTTTCAACATATTTCTAATGCTGCAGTTCCACCATTTGTTTTTTTCCAGTGGACAGATGGCCCCCCTCCTGTCCAGATCCAGGCCCAGAACGGTCCCACCACGAGCCTCGCAAGCCTGCTATGAAGAACCCACATGATGCATGCAATTGTAGCTGGTAAATTACCACAAGCAGCGATTTGATGCCTAAAAACCTGCTATCCACAACACTGTAGCTTAAAATAAATCTTAACAAGCGACCGGTTGGACATTCACTTTATTTGCTTCAGAGGATTACTTCCGATTGCCTGCTTGTATTTTTATTTTTTTTTGTTCTAAAGTTATCAACTCATAACACTCTGATGGCGTCGACTGTGGGGGGGCAGGATCCCGGTGGGACTCCTGGTTTAGGAGGACGGACACATAGCAATGTATAAAAGTTTCATTGCCTCAGATATAGGGATATAAGTTTGTCAGGGTTATTTTTTATTTCCATATCTTGGAAAAGATCCAGTTAGATAAGGGGCAGTAAAAATATGTAGAAGAAATTAATTTATTCATGTTGCTATTTTTGTAACTGTTGATAAATATTTTACATCTTGCCTTTTTTTTTTCTTTTTTTTTTTTGTATGAATGCTGTTTTTCTCTCCCATGTTTGGATGTTACTAATGTGGACGCCCTGTGCTATAGTCTCTCAGCTGGGTCGCCTATCTTACATTTTTGATGATTCTTTTGCACAAAATCCACAGTAGGAAATATAGACCTGTAACTTATCTTATATTCATTTGAAATGTTTCATAGCAAAGACAAAAAAGCAGCATATGTTGTTTTGATGCACAATCCACTGTGTTTAGGAGATGCTTTTAAATACTAGTAGAATTTATCATATTATCACTAATACCCTTTAAAGAGTACACATTTTCTCATGTATTTGTTTTAGGTTTATTTCTTGCTATAGTTTTTTTTTTTTTTTTGTGCATCTGATTTTTTTTTTCCCCCCCGAGATTTTGAAAAAATATATATATTTTATTGTCCTAATTTTTCTTGATAGTCCTACTAATTGATCTTTTCATGGTTTGTTTGTATAAATTTACCACTTGTTAAACCTTTTATTGTACAGTGACATTTTCTAAATTCAATTTAGTAAAGTGTGGTATGTATTAGTTTAGCTAACATATGTAGGTATCCCATGGCTTGGTATTTAAAGCACTGTAAGAGATGGACATGCAGTTTAAGCTTCAGTACTAGCCATATTTTATCCAATGCCTCTGTTTTTAATTCCTAACATTGTTTTCAATGATTTTTCCAATAAAAAACATGATTTAAATTGGTCAGTTTAATGATTTACTTATCCTTCTGCTGTTGTTCTTTTGTAGTTTTTTTGGGTGAATATACTTGTTTCCTTATTTCAGAGGTATGGGGTCCATCCCCATTTGAAATATGCAGACTCATCATGTGCAGCTTTTGAATGAAGGGGCACATTTCATTGTTATGATCTCATCTGGAATGTATTTAACTTTTAGTATACGCAAAGAGGGCAAATCAGTTCTGCAACTCTTGGTTTCAGAAACGTGTTTCCCAGAAGTGTCAGGTGGGCATTTATCATTAAAGCTTTTTTAGTTTGCTTGTAAAATCTGTCAAGAAAAAAACTATTGGATATGCACCACACAACTCTTGGATTTATGGGACAGTGTCAAGAAGAGAGCAAAGATATTTATCTTTTGGAAATAAAAAACAAAACAAACAAACTATGATCTAATGAAACCAAAACGTAACTTTCCGTCTTCACAGATAATGCTGCTTGGGAGGAAAAATATTGGAAATTTTTTAAGCAAAACTATCAAAGTTTAGACATCCTGATAGGAAATATGTCAGGTTCCCATTTTTCTTACAGCTAGGAATAATTAAGTTGATAGTTAAGCCAATCCGTGACCAACAGTCTTGTGATTAGGCCTGCAGCAGATTATTTTGAAAATCAATTAGTCTGTTGATTATTTGTTTGATTAATCAATTAATAATCGGATTGTCAAGGGCTCCTTAAAGGTACAGTGGAGGATTTTTGAAAAGACCTGCCCTGTCCACTTAAAAAAAAAATTACATGCACAACCCTTTATCCACTCCTGAGAGGGGGAAAAAACTAAACGCGTATGAGAGCGTGCACGAGCCCATTTCTGTTTAAAAGTTGCTGTTTGCACCGCTCATACAAGCTTACTTTCCAATAGAAGATTTGCAATTTTTCCACTGTCAGACTCTCCACCAGTAAGTGAAAATGGGGACCGGCACATAGGACGGCCTTACGTAAACATATCACAATAGTGATTGACAATCAGTTGGACCACTTATTTTGATGATCCACCTCAAAAAAAGAACATCCTCCCCTATGCCTTTAGAGAACATTTTATACAGAATGAAACCAGGTGAAAATAAAACTTTTCGACTTGTCGAGTTCTGGATGGAGCATATTGACAGGAGAAAAAGTTTTTTTTTTTTTTGTAAGTGGGTCCCTCTGTCAGCTAAAGGCATGTCTTACAGTCTATACTCCAGTTAATGATTAATAATCGATGACTATATTAGTATTTCAATAATCCGACTAATTGTTTCTGCCCTTGTGATGTTGACTGTTTAGGTCACTTGGAAGCTAGATTTACACCAAGTACTAGAAGGCAATGGAAAACCCCAAGTTGTTTTTAGAGGAGTAAAAACTAAACTTTTTAGAGGACTAAATGAAAGTTCAGTTTAATAAAGGAGTGGCAAAGACAGACAGCTGCCATGAAATTGAGAGAATCTGTGGCAAAACTTGGAAAATGACGTTGGCAGGTTTTCTCCAAGTCCAATTCTATTCAGTCTGACCTACACTCACCGGCCACTTTATTAGGTACCCCATGCTAGTAACGGGTTGGACCCCCTTTTGCCTTCAGAACTGCCTCAGTTCTT